TAATTCTTTTTGTTGTTTATGGTTTGTTTTTTGTTTTGGTTTTGGTTTTTATTTTTTTTGTGTGTGCGTTTTAATTATACTTTGCTGGCTTCCCTTCTTTATTTTTCTTCCTTAACTGGGTTCTGCACACCTGAATGATGGCAAGCCAGGTTTGGAGGGCGTAGAGGATGAGAGTCACACCCCAACCCCTGGCAAACAGCTTTACCTGCTTTATCCACCAGGAGTACCCACAACCTTATGCTGAGCTGGCCACAAAAATTGATTATTCCAGCATCTTCATGGAGTGCCTCACAAAGAGACAGCGGAGGAAAAGATGTGAATTTTTACAGGAAAAGCAAAATCACAAGCCAAGGATGACATTACAGGAGTGCTTTTTCAGATAAATGCATGTATTCCCTAAATGTTCCACACTGCTATCAAGCCCCTAGCTTAATATTATCCTATGCCATTATGTTTTAAATATACAGAATTGTTTCTGGTTTTCCTGTAGTGTTTCCAGGGACTTGAACTCATGCTAAAATATTCTCACTTTTCCCACAGCACTGGCAAGTTGTTATTCTAATTTTTTTTTTTTTTAGTTATCTAAAATGTCTGCTTAAAAATCATAATTTCTGTAGCAACAATGAATCTTGTTTTGTGTAATATGTAGAGAAGTGCATTATTGATGAAGCAACATCACTCAAAGAATACTGAGGAAAACCATGAGGGAAAATCACAGATAGATTTTGCACATAATGCAATTTTTTTCTATATGTATTTTAACCAATTACCTTTTTGCTTCTGCTTTTGGAAAAAAAAAAATCTAAAATCTTTTATATATCATCTGTAAGCCAAAAATATAGTTTTTTGGCTCAAGAACTAAAGCAGTTTTGCTGTGTCATGAGAAAGAAAAGGCAAGGATCCAACTCCCATGTTCCTGCCCCTGAACAGACAGGATAGAACAGCCCCAACACACTCCTGTTAAATTTTGATATAAAATTGGTAGGAGAAATGCTAGATAAATCTTCATTTCAAGCTTCAGTTTCCAAATAATACTACAGCTGAAAAATGCCTGGTTTATATATGGCAGAGAAGAAATCTGTCTTTGTAAAAAAGGCATTACAGGGCTGAGATAAAACATTTCTCAGCTGATTCCATCTCCTCATCTTGAGTAACACCTTGTGGGGGAGTTGTTAAAGAGGATATATTAACTCAGGTTTGGGTTTCTAGGAGACCTAAGAGCACATAAAACCATCAGGGAACTAACAAACTTCATCTCTTCTAAATTATTGCCTTAAATAACTTCTAAGTGTGTTTTGCTTGGGTGTAGATAAATTTCACGGAGATCAGGTGTCGCGGAGCAGAACAGAACAGAAATCAAGGCAAAGTCTCTGCACTCCTTCCTCACAGAAATAAATCTTCATGGGTGGCATGAGGGCTGTTTGACAAAACCAAAATATTACACAGAAACTACATAGAGCCCTTCCAGTCCCTTAATCACCCCTACATGCTATTTATAAATATGGAATTCCACTGACGTAACCAACAAAGGCAAATTAACAATTTAAATTCGTGTTCCATGTGAACCCTTGTGTTTCTGTAATAATATTTTTTTTAATAACCCAAATACCCTGGCACACATCAGTTAAGGTCTGCTCCAGAAGATGCAGTCCAGGATGCCTTCAAGGAGAGCACATTTTTGTTTTAATTTTTGTTTTTCTTTGTATTTGGTTTTTTTTTTTTGGTTTTTTTTTTTTTTTTTTTGGAATTTTTTTTTTTTTTTTTTTTTTTTTACCCCTGCTGTTGCAACAGGCCAGGAGGAGGGAAGCAGGTTTTGTGGAAATCAAAGAAAAAAGCTCAGTTGCAACAAGAGACAGAAAAGCCCATTGTGGCATCATCAAAATTGTCCTGAATAGCAAAACAAAATGGCAAGAAAAAAGAAATCCAGACATAAAGCAGAAAACATAAAGGCAAGGACATGGAAAGAAAAGTCAGTGAGTGTAATGGAAAATGGAAAAATGCAGAAAGGTGGAAAGAAGGAAAGAAGTCAAAACTAAAGTGGAAAAGCATGAAAGTAACCAAGATTATCTTGAGCAGATAGAATTGGTGTCAGGGGTCAGATGAGCAGTGTGTTTATGTTTTATCATGTTTTTCCATCAATTTATCTTTTATCATGGTTTTGGCTGGTCCAGAAACTCTGTTCAGATTCTTACTCTCTGTTGGTGCTGACTTGATTTGGATAAAAAGAAGTGGACTGTAAATAAAACTCATTATACTGGAGAATAAGTTGGTCAAAGATTTCCTCTGCCTTCTTTATTGGTTAATTGATTTAACTCATTTGTGAGTGCTTAGTTTGTTTTTTTTTTTTTTTTTTTTTTTTTTTTTTTGTTAGTTTGCTCCAATTGGGCAGCATTAAAAAGTTTGCTGTTCATTTCATGTTGAAGTATTTTTTGGGCATGCATAAATAAATCTGTGCAGAGATCTTGGTAAGCAAAGGGGTGAACGTTTGCACCTCAAATATAGCAAAATGAATGAATATGAATATGAATATTCATTTCTTACATTCAGAGCAGCTACACCCAGGGGAATGCCCTTCTCTCCAAGGGGAGCTCTGTCTTTTTTTGGATAATTGGTCAGCAGGCATCACCATGAGCAGATGAGAGAGATGGACAAAGT